TCATGATGCTACCACCACCGTGCTTCTCTTTTGGTCTCCTCAGACCAGAGAACCTTCTTCCAGGTGACTTCAGAGTCTCCACATGTCTTCTGGTGAACTCTAGTCCAGATTTAATCTGAGCTTTTTCCAACAGAGTCTTTTCTCTTTGTCTCCCATAAAGCTTCGATGGTGAAGAACAGGTTCTAGTAGCTTTTTCAGAGGAGTCCTAGGAGTCTTAGTGGCCTCCCTCACTTGTCTTCATACTACAAACACTGAGACACATTAACTGACCTCAGATGATGCATTTACTGGCTGTGGGACTTCTCGTACCGACTGGTCACGTTAAATGGGGTAAATACTTGTGAAATCTAATCTTTTATATTTTCTAGGACACATTTCACTTTGCTCTTAACTTTCATCTCTTTCATCAAGAGCGCTGTGATTGGTCGGTGCCTCTTTGTACCAACAACCAACATGTTTGAGACGCCGGGATGAATTTTCTACACCTTTGATTAAAGGCTTTTGGCTCTGAATCCAGTTTCCGTCACGGACAGACGGTTCGTTCCTGTTCCAAGTCACGTGGAAGAGCTAAAGTGGAGGTAAGTCTCACCAATCAATAATAAAAATGCATCTTCTCGTTGCCTGAATGCAACATGAGCTGAACTCAGCGTTCTGCAGACCGATGGAGGTGCTGAGAAACCAGATCCAAACATTTTTCAGAGCCTCTAAGTGGCCTTTTGTAACAAGAGGGATGGGACAGTTCATTGTGCATTCTGTAAAGTGAAGGAGGTCGCCCAGATAAACGGCAGATTGAACACCAACCTGTGCGGCTCACCTTGAAACCAAACGGATGACGGTAATCTGTCGTGAAACCGATTGGTGTCGGCCGAGGAGGCGGCTGGACGCTGGTGTGACCGGACCTCAGATCAGCTGCATTAAAGACAGAGATGAACAAATCAGCACATTAACCAACGAGCGGCAGCCTTATCGATCCACGACTCTCAGTTATTCCTCGCCCTGGTTGGTTTTGTCGGATGGTGCAGATTTTCTCCGCTCACGCTCTAGTTTTACCGTCTTAATCATCACCTTCTCGCTGGATGCACCTGAGGACAGCGAAACTGCCGAGAACTCACTTCGTTAATTAATTCACTTTCAGGTGGGAGCCTCCATCTGATATTCCTCCGGATCCCACCCAAAGATAACTCAGAGCCATCAAACATTCAGTCGGCGGTGCTTTTACCTGAGCTCGGCCATATTTTATCACTGCACTTTATGGAAATTAAACGTCGGAACCGCGGAGCTTTGAACTCCACAATGTGTTTGTACGGAGAAAAGTTTGAGGCTCTTTAAACAGATTCTTATCACATCTAAGAGCAGCGCCGTGGACGGATCGGACCGGCTCCGGAGTCGTCCTGCAGCGGGACGACGGGGCCAAACGTCCGGCCGGAGTCATAAAGACGTAAATCCAGAAGGTCTCGGTGATAAAACGGTTCAATAAAACGTTTACTCGACTCGCCGTGAAAACACCACAAAACTCAAAGCTTTGCTGCAAAACTGAACTCTGAGGTGTAAATCCCAGCAGGTACAAGGCGCTAAAGGTGGTAACTCAGATTTTTAAAGCATGAAAAACATGAGTCTGGATTTCAAAAGGGTTCCAAGATGAATCCGAGGCGTCACCAGACTGAATTAAAACCGTTTTCCTTCAAATAAAAACGGATCTTTCTGACATTTTCCCATTAATTCCACAAGTTTTGTGTCAGAACTGTTTGAGACGAGAGAAATTTTATTATCTGAGCTGTTTGCTGCTCAGCGACGTATTAAACGGGTCACGAGGGTTTAAAACTTTGACCTGTTGACTTTAATTAAAAGGCCCGAGTGGTTAAATTCAAACAGAATCCTGCTTCTGTTGGTCTGACTGATGCTCTGAAGCAGCTTCTTCATGTTCGTTTGTCTCATTTTCCTTCACTGAGGTTCATTTTTCACTGAGAACAAAAAGTCCTGCAGCTCAGTCCGGGTCGGTTCTGTCGCATTTTTGGTGTTCGACATTTTGTCTTTTTGGATCTTTTCATCTGTTTTACACAAAAAACTTGAATCAACACGACAAAGATTTTGGTAATTTCATATCCTTCTGTGCTCATTTTACATTTTGGTTGTTGTACATCTTTTCTTTTTGTCCTTTTTACATCACATTTCAATCCATGCACATCTTTTGTAGTCGTGTTTAGGTTGCCTTCCATCTTTGTCACGTCTCGTTTTGACTGTTTCACGTCATATTTTGACCCTTTTACATCTTTTGCATCACATCTCTGCTGCTTCACGTCCCTTTGTTGTCGTTTTACGTCACATCTGCCTCATTTTGGCCCGTTTACATAATTTTGCATCACATTTAGGTTGTTTTCCATCTCTTTGTGGTTGTCTTGTGTCATAGTTTGGTCGTTAAAAAAAGAATTTCAAAGAAAAATGAACATGCATTTTACAATAACGATTAAAACCAACACGTCCACAGTCAGCCACTCAACTGAACCTTTATTTAAACCCATATGAACACTGAGGCTTCGTTTACAGTCCAGCTGAAGAGGAAAATAAAGACGTAGGTGCAGAAAGAAAAGACAAGACCAACTTAGCAAAATAAGAACGACCTTAATTAGAGGATTTAAGGTTTATAAACAAATAAATCAACAAAAGAAAAACTAAGTGGGCAGTAAATGAAGAAAAGAAATAAGAAATTAAACTCTGGGTTTATAAACACATTCTGATCATTTATTGATTATTGTAACCAGGAAGAGGAACCATGACGCCTGTTTGAGTTCTTCTACGTCGGCTGTCGGTCCGTTTTAGGATTGATTTTAACCGTCTCTGTCCTATTGCCGACCTTCTAACACCGGATCTCCACCTCGCTCCCTACGATCCTCAGACAAAAAGGTCCGTGAACCGTCCCAGAGGCCCGGCTCAGAACAAAGGGGGACGACGCGTTTTCAGTCCGAGGCTCTGGACTGAGCTGCCCGAGGACATCGGGTCGGCTGGTTCTGTGCTCGCTTTTATGTCGCTCCTTAAAACACGTTTTTATCGGAGAGCTTTTCCTGATTTTATTTCAGTTTTATGTTTTTAGCTTCCTGCTTTATGCGTGTGCTTATTGTATTTTAATTGTTAATTTATTTGTATTGAAAAGCTCTTTGTGACATTTGTTTTCAAAAGTAAATAAAGTTTATTATTATTACAGATTTAATAGAAAACATCTTCCACATTATATAGATATATTTCACCATTTATACTTTTGTTTATTTCCGTGCTCGTCTCCTCTCTGTGGAAACACTTCAGCCCAGAACTCTCTGGATTTTCATCGTGTGACTGTTGGTTGCAGCCGAGTCGCTCGTGGCTTCTTTGTTGTGCTGAAGACGGCAGAATTTTTTCTTTTTTGCAGAATCTGGTTAAAAGCAAATGGTTTATTTTTTAGTAATTTTTAAATTGAGACACGTAGAATGAAGGGGGTTTGATGAAATGTCATGAACTGGAGATCAGATTTGGTTTTCTGATGGATCTGTACGTGAGGACCTGGTTTGTGTTTGAGAAACGGTGTCACGTCTTTTAAACCTGCAGGTGGGTTTTGAGGCTCAGAGGGTTAAAAATGACTCATTAAAACTGTTACTGAGGGAAGTCAAACATTTATGGGGACCAGCTCTTCAGGCGGCAGGAGAACGAGGAGTCCTGCAGCAGATGGTCTGAACCCTCTGATCAACCGTCTGTGATCACAGCCTGAATCCACAGAAGAACTCCGAGTCCTCCGACACCCAGCAGAACCGAGCCGCTCGCGCGTCACGAGACCTTAACTGATGAATAAACTGTGTTCGGCCTTTATGGCCTGGATGTCGCGCGCTGCACGTCGTGGCACGTTCGCTTTGTGCTCTCTGGACGCCGTTCCTCATCAGCGGCGACTCGCAGTGACAGAAAATCGATGAGGACGCTGCTGTTGTTGGTCAGACAATATTTCCAGACGCTGATGGATGTCGGAGCCGCCGGACGCTGAGCTTCCACAGGCGCTGCCGTTACGAGTTTACCATGAGAGTGGATGTGATTTAACGCACAACACGTCTGTTAACGGTCACATGGAGCTACGTTAGCGTCGCTCACAGCCTTTGTCCTCCTTAAACACTCCTTACACGATCAGTCTGGAATTTATAGGTTTTATAACAAACAGGAGACGAGCTGAGTGTTCAACGACGAACCCAGGCGTCTGTTTAGAAGTTTATCTTCTATTTTCATCAGTGTTCTAATTCATAACCATTAAAACTGATTCAAGTCTCATAAATAAGATTTGACGGCTGTTTAGTGATCATTTGGGTCTAATCGTGGACATTCGGTTCAGATTTTAAACCTTCTCCTTGTGTTATGTTGTAGTTTTTAAAAGGGTCTGATGACAAAAAAAGGAGAATAAACGTTTGAAATACACCCACATA